ATCTTTGGCCTTCTAGCGTGGATTATCACAAAAGTCTAATATAGGGAGGGCAAAGTCTTCTTTGACAGCACCTGAACGCTAATTTGATGGAATTATGCATTAAGACCTACAAGAAATTTGAAGATTCTTTCTCTTTGGACAAAAATTTTGAGGATTGCAAACGTCGTCACTACATTTCATTTTAATATTATGGTAATAATCCTTTTCTGGCAACAAACTTTTCATAAGATGATAGTATTGTTTGACTGAGAGTGTATCTTGCTCAGAGATCATATTTTAGTCTTGATTTCATAGTTAAAGCAGCACCTCGCATCTTATAGTATGTCTGGCAGGTGGCTTCCCGGATCTCTAGAGCAGTTGTAAAAACGTATAATTGCCAATGATTTCTGGTTCCATTGGACCTATAATCATTGAATCGTCCTTGTCTAATGCGTTAAACTTTGGTTCTTCTAGTTTCGGACTGGTTCCAGTTGGAGTACTTATCTTTCGTCTTCCCTCGGGAAATGTTCTCACAATCTATGAGCATTGAAGATCTTTTTTTCCTTCAGTTGATATTGCAGTTCCGCTATTGACTGATATGATAGAGATACAATTGTGGGATTTGATGAATTTCAAGAGAGATCTGACATTTTTCTGAAAACAAAAGAAAGTGGAATAAGGTTTTGGCTATGAAGGCCAATACTCAGCAAGGATTGCTGATTCACTTTTATAGTTAAGCAGTAATGTAGAAAAAGAAGGTTCAGCAATGAAAGCTGTCGGAAAAGAAGGTTCAGCAATGAAAGCTGTCGGAAAAGAAGGTTTAGCAATGAAGGTTGTTAAAAAGAAAAACTGGGAGCAGACTACTCTGGTAACATGTGGAAAAGAATAAAGTCTTTCTTATATTTCAAATAAGTAATACATAATTAAATATTTATACGCAAAAAATGTGCCCATGTAGGAAAGTTGACCCTACAATCAACTCCTAAAATCTGAGAATTTCTAACATTAGAAATCAATTAATATAAATGCTAATTTGAGAAATTAGGGCTGTATACGATTTCCTAGCTGTAAAATAAATGAGGAGATACTGACCGTATTAAGAAATTAATGAACAGATATTCAACGAAAAACTTAGAACAGTTCTCAACTACTTAACAGTTCTCATGTGGTAAATCTGTTAGGAGTAGCGATTCTCATCTCTTCTAGTATTATCATGAAAAATTAATAAGTTCAGAGAGCTTGTTTTTATTTTCCAGCATATATTTTTGGTGACTCTGTCTATAGTCGTAAGCCATGCAAGTCCAAATTGATGAAAAAGTTCTTCTGGAATTAAAATTCTGAACTTTATTCTTTTTAAATTCATCTTGTTTTTAGTGCTTCCATTTTTAAGTTAATCTCGACTTTCTGAAATTTTGACATGCATGTATCGATTAGTTTAATCGGGGTAAACCTAGAAATTTGGAAAAAAACAATCGTAGAAAACCATTTTAGAACGAGCAAATTCATCATTATTTGGTTTAGATCTCGATGAAAGAAAAACATCCACGATAAAAGCCCAGAGCAAAAGCAAAAAATACGGTAGTTAATTGGTGGGGTGAATACCACTATTGGAGCTGATATGCATGAACCATTTCCATTAATATTTATACATCTTACAGAGTTTCTTTCTGTCATAGAAGCCCAGTTCATGATAATAATTAAAAGTATGTCAATAAAGGAACACTTTGTATAACAGAAATAGAAAACCTAGATAATCTGAAAAGTCTTGCAGTATACCTGTATCTAAAGCAATGTATTTAATAACAGGGAAAATATTCTTCTGTCTCTGCAGTATTGGACATCTTTATCAGAAGATTTGCACTTGTCTTGTGCTTTTCTTTTGAAGAATTATAAATTGCCTTATAATGTAATAGAATATTGGAAATGATCAAGGCACTTTTAATTTCTTTCAAATCTCATTTTTCTTTGCCTTTTTTGCTTTTGCAGGTTGTTGCTATTAAACAATTAGACAGGAATGGTCTGCAGGGTAACAGGGAATTTCTTGTGGAGGTTCTTATGCTCAGCCTTCTTCATCACCCCAACCTTGTGAACCTGATTGGTTACTGTGCTGATGGAGATCAACGGCTCCTTGTCTATGAATTTATGCCCTTTGGATCATTAGAAGATCATCTCCATGGTACCTTTCCTTTCCCTTTAGTTCTTCTGATTGGAAAACTCTAACCAGCTTTTAATTGATACATTTGGGTGAATATAGTCCCATTAAATTGTGTTAAACCCTGATATTGATGAAAGCAGATTTCAAAGGGATGTAGGGAGAAAGGATGTAACTTGGGGCATTAAGTTTAGGGATCCAAACATCCTAGCGTCAATAGAGACAAAATATTTCTGGAGTAGGTCCATTATGTATTTGTAGTATGCATATCTATTTATCTTCTAGTAATCATATTGATGTAACCAAATGAAATAGGGTTTAGAACATTAGAAAACATAAAAGAAAAATCCAATTATAGGAATTGGTAAACCACAACCACATATTATTACAACTATTATCACATCCTAGACATCCTACAAATACATGGTTGATTCATCATTATCGATTAGATTGCTTATGCATAATAGAACAGGAATTGATATTTAAAAAAAATAATAGAAGAGGACTTGGCTAGGTAATAGAATAGAGCTGTATCACCATCCATTGGAGCATCTTTTCTCCTTGCCAATGAATAACAATTAAAATTGGCCACCTTGAAATGAATACAGTCCCCAATTTCATACAACCCTTACTATCTCCTCCAACCCATATTACCACTATTTAGCTTCTGCCAAAAGCAGCCTTGATCCAATCATAATCTCCTAAGCCTCTTGCCTAGCAGTGCCATGTTAAAGTTTGTAAGGATCTTATACCAAGACCCCCAAATTTAATGGCATTTTGACGACGTCACAGACCACCAAAGGGAATTTTCTACTCTCATCTGACTTATTCCACATAAACCGACACTGAATGATCTCTTATCTCTTAGCTACACTTGCCAGAATGGGAGCCTATTACAGAAGGTATATAGGTTGATTGGTCAAAGTACTTTTAATAAGAACAAGACTGCATCCTTTAAAGGAAAGCTTCTTCTCCATCCAGCCAGTCTTCTTTCAGATCTAGAGATCTCTGAATTTCAAATGGTCTTATCTATAAATTTGGCTCCCAAAGGTAGCTCTAGATATTTGACTGGAAGGGAGGAAATCTCGACATAGATTATTAAGTATCTGAACCTGATCTTCAATTCTGAGTTTCAATTTTTTTTGTTAATCTTAAAATATACAATTATAACATAATTTATTGTAAGTTGTTATCTCTTTACCTTGAATTTTTAATGATAAGAATTCAACACTAAGCTTACAAGGTAGTAATTAAATTCTCATTTTCAATGAATTCAAAGTGGGATAATGGTATTTCAAACATAATAAATAATGTTCTAATTATGCATTAAAATTAACATGACAATTAAAACTAAGAATTGAGTAGAAAATAAACTAAATACAATTAGGAGTAGGGTTAGAATATGTCTAAATATATTTCCTCCTTGGCCTTTTACAAGTGATTGATTTAAGAATTCTCAGTTAAGCCAGTGTTTACAAAGAGATAAGGTTCTGGTGTGCAGTACTTTCATGCCTCGTTGTGCTACTACTACTAGAACACAAATTCTTCTACTCCCAATATGATTATGTTTTATTTGACTCTCATTCCATATCCACTTAGTTTCCACTTTCTCCCCCTAATTTTTATAATAACGTTAAAATATAGAATTAGAACTTGTTTTACGTTTGATGTCACTCACACCTCTCTATTGAATTCCTTATGCTACATTTAGCACGATGGGTAGGGTAAGCAAGGGCAGTACGTACCATTTGACCAACCCTATGCGATGTTTGAGAGATAAAGGTTTTACAGATATGGAAAGATGGGTGGATAGTGCCATCAAGCCCTGAGAGATGAGGTTCCATTAACTATTTTGTAAATGAGTTTAATGTTACTGTGCAGATCTGCCACCTGATAAGGAGCCATTAGATTGGAACACAAGAATGAAGATTGCTGCTGGGGCAGCAAGGGGGTTGGAATACTTGCATGATAAAGCCAACCCTCCTGTTATCTATAGGGACTTCAAGTCATCAAACATACTGTTGGATGAAGGATTTCACCCAAAGCTTTCTGATTTTGGACTAGCAAAGCTTGGTCCAGTTGGAGACAAATCACATGTTTCAACCAGGGTCATGGGAACCTATGGTTATTGTGCTCCTGAATATGCTATGACTGGACAATTGACAGTGAAATCAGATGTCTACAGTTTTGGGGTAGTGTTCTTAGAGCTGATCACCGGACGCAAAGCCATTGACAGCACCCTCCCCCATGGGGAACAGAATCTTGTGACATGGGTAAGACCATCTACGTATTTTTTTTTCATTCTCGCTTCCGACACTCATGTTCTTCTTGTGATGGCATGTGTTTCGGGTGATTGTGATCTGACCTGGACATGTTTCACACACACGCACCCCATTTTACTCTCAATATTAAGATAATAGAATGGACATGACTGTTTTATGCATATGCACAGGCACGGCCATTGTTTAATGATCGCCGGAAATTCTCAAAATTGGCAGACCCAAAACTGCAGGGACGGTATCCCATGCGGGGTCTCTACCAAGCTTTAGCTGTGGCATCCATGTGCATTCAAGAACAGGCTGCTACTCGTCCTCTGATAGGAGATGTGGTCACTGCTCTTTCTTATTTGGCAAATCAGGCATATGATCCTAATGCGGCAGGTTATGGTTACAGAGGTTCTGGGGATAAAGATGATAGAAGAACCAGGGATGAAAAAGGTGGAAGAATATCAAAGAATGAGGAAGGGACAGGATCTGGCCGCCGATGGGACTTGGAAGGATCGGAGAAGGAGGACTCTCCAAGGGAAACTGCTAGGATGCTGAATAGGGACTTAGATAGAAAACGAGCTGTTGAAGAAGCCAGAATGTGGGGGGAAAATTTGCGAGAGAAAAGGCGACAGAATGCACAGGGCAGTTTTGATGGCAATACAGAGTAGCAAATTTGATGGCTACATATTGCACTATATCCTGCGTTGGCTTTCTTCCTGTCTGTCACCTGATAGGGTGTGCAAACACTAGATTCGAAGCAAATATTCTTTTGCCTGACCAAAATGTTATTATGTCTCTTTTTTCAAACGGACAGGTTCATCGCAGTGGAATTAGTGCCAAGGTGTTCCTTTTTTGTTGGTATATAACCATAGTTTGTTTCAGAGAAGATGAAGATGAAGATGAAGATGAAGAAGAAAATCATAATGTTGAAAAACCAGAATAATGATTGTACATTAACTGATAGGAAGGTAAAAGAGCAGAAGGCCTATTTATAAGATTTTGAGGTAAACATGTCTGTGCATCATCTGACTTCTTCTTGCTCTTGTAGTACACGAACAAAAAGTCACTGTTGGATTAGTTTCTTCATCAAACATTCTTACCATCTAATTCACATAATGTTGTTGATCAATTAGTTTGCATTAAATTAGACAAACACGATTCATATTCTGCCTGAGGATTTTACTAAATCCAATGTAATAAGTTATTCTAGAATTGATTCACCAAAGTTATCTGTTAATATACTCAGTTACCTTAGGATTGGCGCAAGTATCATCTATTAATATAGCAAAGGCTTCAAATTATTTGAACCGTTATATACCAAATCTTGATTTTTGTACCCTGTTATTTTTTTCAGAAAAAAGAATAATAACCTTTGAGCCATTTTAAATACGACCCAACATGTACTTTCATTCTTCTTGATAAACTCATGTTAGGTATATATATATATATACTTTGTTTCAAAGTAATCTCTAACAAGACCTTCAATCAGATTTTCTGTACAAAGTTGAGAAATCTGAAAATAGATTTGATTTGGTTTGGTGTAGTAGAGTTCGGTTCTCCCGTTTTATAATAAAACAAATAGTAATTCCATGACTTGATGGATATTCAGAACAAATAAAATTAGCAGCAATATTATGTTGGTCAAAGTTGTCAAGCCATATTAAAAACCAAGTAAATTAAGTGGGGGTTGGAAGAAATTGCGGCTTGGAGTTGACACTTAAGATGCCAAAATCAGAAGACTGCGCAGGTGAAGGAGAGGCGTGCTAAAGAAGCTTCCCTTCCCACTGGGGCGTATAAAAAGAGAAAAGTCGAAGAAGAGAGACGCGACCTTTTGGAGAGGAGAATCTTCCTTTCTTCCATCCTCCTGTAAATCAACAGTTGATTCCAGTAGGTAATTTATCTTTTATGGGCATGTTTGAATTAACACTGATTATTGTGGTTAACTGATATTCTGGAATTTGTTGGAATCCTGTTTGTGATTCGTTTTGTTAATTTTGGATGCCCATTAATTTCATACATTATTGTTGAAATCATGTATGTATATATGACTTTGAATTTTCTTTTTTTTTTTTTTTTTTTTTTTTACCAAACTATCACTGCATAGAGTGTCTACTTGGGACATTAAATTGCCACTAACAAAAAAAAGCAAAAATCTCAGACCAAAAAAAGGAGGAGAAAATATTTGTTTTTAAGAGAAGGGTAAAGAATTTGGTGTTTGATTCATTTGAATGGATGGTGGTTTCTTTATCTTTTCTGGAATTATGATGAAACAAAGCTTCTTTTGGACATTACATTGCTCAATGAATTTCTGTACAAAGTTCTTGAATGCACATTAACTGATATGGAACTAATCCTGAAACTTGGAGTTAAGAGAATTTCATTCTTTTAAATTAAGCTCAGGGTTCCATTCTTTGGGATACGTAGGGTTTTACCAACATGCATTTACGTTAACATCACTTTAATAAAATATTAAATAGAAATGTCAAAACGGTTGCTACTGTAGCCACATGGGCATAAATTATAGTAGTGATTCAACAACATTATTGATTTGAATAAATTTTAAAAGCATAGATTTCATTTGAACAACAAAATCATTGAGCATGTATTTGTTTCTTTTTTTTGGTTAAAAATATAAAAAAAATATATAAACAAGCTGCAAGCTAACAACAATTAGTTAAACATGCTCAACTTATATCATAATGATCAAGATAAAGAGAAACATGGAGGTCCTCAAGTACCTTCTGAATCCTTATATATCATATTGAAGTATGATCAAATGAATAAAGCGATCTGTGTGCAAATATTATTTTTTATAAACTACTCGATATACAAATAGTTAACTTCAATAATAAGTTTTCTAATACATTCTCTCCGAACAAGTTTTAGACCTTTAAGAATCTCCGTGAACTTCAATCAACGACAGACATATAAGGTTACACGTAAAGCCAACAACTGAATGACTTTAATTGTCCCTAATAAGCCTATAGGTAGTTATGTTCCTATGATGATCTTGAGGGAGACTATTAGTATTGAGCTTGAACCACCATGCAAAAATATAAACATTCCTCCTACTTGCACGAATCTAGCTGGATCCGTATATTTTTTTATAACATATCTTGTACTCTTAACATTAAAGGATGAAAATTTTAAAGTGGTTTCATTACAATCTCCATTCTCAACGATGAAATCTTTTTTTTTTCCTTTTCTTTTACATATTCCAAACCATAGCGGACAAAGATAAATTTATAATTAGTAATGACACGATTGATTGCTTAGATTCGTCTTTTAAGTTTCACTCAATCTAACAATAAAAAAAAAAAAAAAAGTATTAAAACACTTTAAATCAAATTAAACATGTGTTGGTGCAGAGAGAAGTCATAATAGATAAATGTATAAGGAGAAAATTTTGTTTTTGAAATAGCTTATTATAAGTAATAATCCCTACGGTGTGGGAGGACAGCAAGCAGTATAATACTTATTGATGAATTAATAACTTTTTTGTGCACTCAATTATAAGAATATGAGGGCAAATGATACATCCCATATCACATGGCGTCATTATACCCCACAAATGAATACTTACAAAAACAAATGAATCTTCTTGTAGGTACAGAGTTTTTGAGTCAATGTCCACCATGAAATTCATCATCTACCTATATAATAATTGTTCCCATGATTGCAATATGGCATTTAATTATTTAATATGGTACGTATGTTTTTTTCACTTTTTAGAATTGTAATTTTGTAATATATATATATGGTTATATGTGTTTTGCATGAAATTTCTTTATTATTCATTAAATTATTAGAGTCATAATTATTGATGACAAAATTA